TTGGGGAACTCAACTGGGTTTGGTGTCATGTTGTCAAGAGGGAGCAACACAAGCTGGTGGGGGGTCAGTTTCAAGAGGCAGCAAATAAAGCTGGTGGGGTCACTGTAAAAAAGGCAGAAAATACAAGCTGGTGGTGTCATGTGTAAGAGCAGCAACTCAAGTGGTTTGGGCATGTCAAAAAGGCAGCAATACAAGAGGGGGGTGTACGTTGTCAAGAGGCAGCAACTACAAGCTGGTGGTGCACTGTGTAAGAGGCGCAACTACAAGCTGGTGGGGTACTGTAAAAAAGCAGAACTACAAGTGGTTGTGTCATGTTTTCAAGGGCAGAATCAAGTGGTGGTGTCATGTTTTCAAGGGCAGCAATACAAGCTGGGGGTGTCACTGTTGAAGGGCAGCAATACAATTGGGGGTGTCCATGTTTTCAAGAGGCAGAAAAAACAACTGGGGGGTCATGTTTTTCAAGAGGCAGCAACTACAAACTGGGTGTACGTTTCAAGAGGCAGCAACTACAAGTGGTTGTTTTCCCGTGTCAAGAGGCAGCAACTACAAGTGGTGGTGTCATGTTTTTAAGAGGGAGAAACTACAAGCTGGTGGTGTCACTGTTGTCAAGAGGGGAGCAACACAAGCTGGTGGTGTCATGTTTAAGAGGCAGGGAACTACAAATGGTGGGTCATGTTGTCAAGAGGCAAATAAAGTGGTGGTGTCAATGTTTTTCAAGGGCGCAACTACAAGCTGGTGGTGTCATGTTTTTCAAGAGGCAGCAACTACAAGCGGTGGTGTCCCTGTTTTCAAAAGGCAGCAATACAGCTGGTGGTTCACTGTTGTCAAGAGGGGAGCAACTACAACTGGTGGTGTCACTTTGTAAAGGGGAGCAACACAAACTTGGTGGTGTCACTGTCAAGAGGCCAACTAAACGGGGGTGTCACTGTAACAAAGAAGCAGCAACTACAAGGGTGGTGTCACTGTGTCAAGAGGCAGAACTACAACTGGTGGTGTCACTGCTAAAAGGGCAGCAACACAACTGGGGTGTCCTGTTGTCAAGGGCAGAACTACAAGCTGGGGTTTTCATTTTCAAAGGGCAGCAACTACAAGTGGTGGGTGTCACTGCTAACAAGAGGAGCAAAATACAAGGGGGTGTCATGCTGCAAGAGGCAGCAACTACAAGTGGTGGTGGGCCGTGTCAAGAGGCAGCAACTACAAGCTGGGGGTGTCATGGCAGAGGCACACACAAGGGGGGGGGTTTTCCTGTTTCAAGAGCAGCAATACAAGCTGGTGGGGCACTGTTTTTCAAGAGGCAGGAATACAAGCTGGTGGTGTATGTTTCAAGAGGGGAGCAACTACAAGTGGGGGTGTCATGCTGTCAAGAGGCAGCAACTACAAGCTGGGGGTTTCACTGTGTCAAGAGGCAGCCTACAAGCTGGGGTGTCACTGTTGTCAAGAGGCAGCAAAAAACAAGTGGTGTGTCACGGTCAAAGGCGCAACTAAAGCTGGTGGTGTCACGTGTCAAGAGGCGAACTACAACTGGTGGTGTCATGTTTTCAAGGCAGCAACTACAAGCTGGTGGTTTTACTGTTCAAGAGCAGAAATAAAGTGGGGGTGTCTGTGTCAAGAGGCAGCAACTCAAGCTGGTGGTGTCACGTTTTCAAGAGGCAGCAACACAAGTGGTGGTGTCAAGTTTTCAAGAGGCAGAACTACAAGCGGGGGTGTCCTGTTTTCAGAGGCAGCAATACAAGCTGGTTGTCACTGTGTCAAGAGCAGCAAAATACAAACGGTGGTGTCACTGTTTCAAGAGGCAGCAAATAAAGCTGGTGGTGTCACTGTTTCAAGACAGCAACTCAAGTGGTGGGGGTCACTGTTTCAGAGGCGCAACACAAGCTGGGGGTGCCTGTGCAAGAGGGAGCAACTACAAGTTGGTGCCCCTGTGTCAAGAGGCACAATACAAGCGGTGGTGTCACTGTTTTCAAAGGCGCAAAACAAGTGGTGGTGTATGTTGTAAGAGGCCAACACAAATGGGGGTGTCACTGTTGTCAAGAGGGGGCAACTAAAGTGTGGGGTACTGCCAAAAGGCAGCAACTAAAAAGCTGGTGGTGTCACTGAAAAAAGGCAGCAACTACAACTGGTGGGGTCATGTGTCAAGAGGCAGCAACTACAAACTGGGGTGTCCTGTGTCAAAAGGGGGCAACTACAATGGTGGGTATGTGCAAAGGCAGAACTACAAGCTGGTGGGTCATGTTTCAAGAGGCAGCACTACAACTGGTGGTGTCACTGTTTCAAGAGGGAGCAACTACAAGTGGTGGTGTCACTTGTCAAAAGGCGCAACTACAAGCTGGGGGTGTCAGTTTTCAAGGCAACAACTACAAGCTGGGGGTGTCCTGGTCAAGAGGCAGCAACTACAAACTGGTGGGTTTACTGCTGTCAAAAGGGGCAACTACAAGCTGGTTGGGGGTACTGTTTGTCAAGAGGCAGCAACTACAAGCTGGTGGGGTCACTGTGTCAAAAGGGGCAATAAAAGCTGGTGGGGGCACTGTCAAGAGGCACAACTACAAGTGGTTGTTTACTGTCAAGAGGCAACACAAACTGGTGGTTCATCTGTCAAGAGGGACAACTACAAACTGGGGGGTCATGTTTTCAAGAGGCAGCAATACAAGGGGGTGCACTGTTTCAAGGGCAGCAACTCAAAAGGGGGGTGTTATTGTCAAGAGGGAGCAATACAAGGGTGGTGTCACTGCTTCAAGAGCAGCAACACAATGGTGGGGTCATGTTTTCAAAAGGGGAGAACTCAACTGGTGGGTCACTGTTGTCAAGAGGCAGCAAATACAACGGGGGTCATGTTTAAAAAGGCAGCAACTACAAGCTGGTGGTGTACTCAAAAAGGCAGAAAAACGCGGTGGTGTCATGTGTTTAAGGGCGCAATCAAACTGTGGTGTCCCTGTGTCAAAAGGGGGAGCAATAAACGGGGGTGTCATGTGTCAAGGGGCAGCAACTAAAAGCGGGGTGTCACTGCTAACAAAGGGGAGCAACTACAAGTGGTGGGGTCCCTTAAGGGGCAGAACTACAAGCTGGTGGGGGTCACTGCTCAAGAGGCAGCAACTACAAGCTGGTGGTGTCACTTGTCAAAGGGGAGAATAAACTGGGGGGTCCGCTGTCAAGAGGCGCAACAAAAAAACACAAAAACTGGTGGTGTCATCTTCAAGAGGCGCAACAAAAAGCTGGTGGTTTTCATTAAAAAGAGGGCCCTTTTTACCAACAAAACAAAGAAATGGTGGTGTCCTGCTGTCAAGAGGGAGCAACTACAAACTGGTGGTGTCCTGTTCAAGAGGACAATACAGCTGGTGGGGGTCCTTTTTCAAGAGGGAGCAACACAAGTGTGTGTCACTGTGCAAGGGCAGCAACTACAACTGGGGGGTCATTTTCAAGAGGGAGCAACTACAAGCGGGGGTGTCACTGTTTCAAGAGGCGCAACTACAAGTGGTGTGTCACTGGCAAGAGGCAGCAACTACAAGGGTGGTGTCACTGTTTTAAAGGCGCAACTACAAGCTGGTGGGGCCCCGGTCAAGAGGCAGCAACTACAAGCTGGGGTGTCAGTTTTTAAAAAGGAGCAACTACAAGCGGTTGTGCATGTTGTCAAGAGGCAGAACTACAAGTGGTGGTGTCACTGTTTTCAAGAGGCAAAAATACAAGTGGGGGTGTCACTGTTTCAAAGGGAGCAACTACAAGCTGGGGGGGCACTGTTTCAAGAGGGAGCAAATACAAGGGTGGTTCCATGTTTCAAGAGGCAGCAAACTACAAGCTGGTGGTGTCACTGTTCAAGAGCGCAACTACAAGCTGGTGGTGTCATGTGTCAAAAGGGAAAAAAGCTGGGGGCCTGTCAAACAAAAAGCTGGTGGGGTCAGCTTCAAGAGGCAGCAACTACAAGTGGTGGGGTCACTGGGTTTTAAGAGGGAACAAATACAGCTGGTGGTGTCATGTTCAAAAGGCAAACTCAAATGGTGGTGCCTGGTCAAGAGGGGCAAACAAGTGGTGGGGTCCTTTGTCAAGGGCAGCAACTAAATGGTGGGGTCATTTTGTCAAGAGGGACAACTACAAGTGGTGGTTCAAGTTGTCAAGAGGCAGCAACTACAAGGGTGGTTATGTTTAAGAGGCACAATACAAGCGGTGGGTGTCATGGCAAGAGGCAGCAACCAAACTGGTGGTGTCATGTGTCAAGAGGGAGAACTACAAACGGGGGTCACTGTTTCAAAGGGAGCAAAACAAGCTGGGGGTGTCACTGTTTCAAAGGGAGCAACTTCAATGGTGGTGTACTGTTCAAGAGGCAAACAACTACAAGTGGTGGTGTCACTTTGTCAAGAGGCACAACTACAAAGGGGGGTGTCACTGTTTTAAGGCGCAACTAAAACTGGGGGTTTTACTGTTGTCAAGAGGCAGCAACACAAAGGGGGGTGTCAGTTAAAGGGACAACTACAAGTGGTGGTGTACTTTTTTAAGGGGCAGAACTACAACTGGTTGTCATGTGTCAAGAGGCGCAATACAAGGGTGGTGTACTGTTTCAAAGGGGGCAAATAAAAATGGTGGTTTTCACTTTCAAAAGGGAGCAATACAGCGGTGGGTCATGCCAAAGGCAGCAACTACAAGTGGTGGTTTTTATTTTCAAGAGGGCAATACAAGTGGTGGGGTCATGCCAAGAGGCAGCAACTACAAGTGGTGGTGTCACTGCAAAAGGCAGCAACTAAAGCTGGTGGTGCAGCTGTCAAAGGCAGAACTACAATGGTGGGCAAAGCTCAAAAGGCAGCAACTAAAGTGGTGGGGTCATCTCAGGGCGCAAAAAAAGCTGGTGGTGCCTGCCAAGAGGCGCAAAAACAAGCGGTGGTGTCATGCTCAAGAGGCACAACTAAAGTGGTGGGTCACTCTTCAAGAGGCAGCAACAAAAAGTGGTGGTGTACTGTGTCAAGAGGGAGCAAATACAAGCTGGTGGTGTCACTCTCAAGAGGCAGCAACCAAAAATGGGGGTGTCATGCTGTGAGGAGCAACTACAAGCTGGTGGTGTCACGTTCAAGAGGCAGAACTACAAGTGGGGTTTTCACTGTGTCAAGAGGGGCAAACTACAAGTGGGGTTCACTGTGTCAAGAGGCAGCAACTACAAGCTTTGGGGGTGTCACGCTGTCAAGGGCGAAAATCAAGCGGTGGGGTCAATGTGTCAAGAGGCAGAACTCAAGCTGGTGGGTGTCACTGCTTAAGAGGCAGCAAAATACAAGCGGTGGGTCATTGTCAAAGGCAGCCAAATACAAACTGGTGGGGGTCACTGCTTTCAAGAGGGAGAATACAAGCTGGTGGTGTCACGCCCAAGGGAAACAAATACAAGTGGGGGTTCCCGCTGTTTAAGAGGAGAAAATAAAGGGGGTTTCCCTCTATAAGAGGAGCACTCAAGCTGGGGTGTAGCTGTTTGGGGGATTTTCGTGGGGTTTTTCCAAAAAGGCCCGTTGGGGTGAAAAATTAGGTTTTGGGATTTGGAGGGTTCCCCTCCAGTAAAAATTAGGGGGGTTTAAGGGGTCCCTTTTCCTAAAAATTGGGGGAAGGGGCCTCTAAGGGTGGGTTTTTGGTGGTGGGGTTTGGAAAAAGGGCTTTTTGGTGAGGTGAGTGTCTTCCTTGGGGGGGTGTGTTGGGGAAGGGGCAACGGCTAAAAGTAGGTGCAGCCCCCAACCCTCAAATGGGGGTGGAAGTAATGGGAGGGTAGGAAAAAAAGAAGAGTGAATTAAGGTAGGAAAGCTTCTTGTTTTTAGGATAAATGTACTTCAGTGGCCAGTGAAGGTAAGGGTACTACTGCCCCTTCTAATGGAGGTAAGCACATTCTTGTGGTTGGTGACTCTCAGGTTAAGATATATTGACCGTGCTTTTTGTAATAGGAATAAGAAGATGAGAGATAGAGTGTGCTTCCTGGAGCTGGTGTTGGGGACATTGTCACAGGCTGGATAATATCATGTCAGGTAATGAGAACAAGCCATTATCTGTCTCAGTGCTGGTGGGAATGATATTGGGAAGGGTAGGAGAGAAGAGCTGCTAGATAAGAACAGGTCAGCTATAGATTTCATTAAGTCTAAGGGAGGGATCCCAATCATATGTAGCATCTTGCTAGAAGGGAGTAGAAATGAATGGTTGTCTAGGGCAATTGGTGTAATTGCTGGCTAGACAGATACTGCAAGGAACTTGCAATCCATTCATTGACAACTGGAACAACTTTTATGGCAAACATGATATGTATGCAAGGGATGGGGTACATCTCTCTGGGGCTGGGGTGGTAGCACTTGCAGACTCGATTGAGAAGGCCATTGGTGAAATGCCTATGATTTTAAACTGATGGAGATAGAGGTATGGGTGTGTGTGGGAAACAAGCAGGTTGCAACACTAGGGTTGGAAACAGTAAATGTATAAAAGGCATTCAGCATGAAGTTATAAATAAAGACAATAGATCAGGTCAGCAAACAAAGGGGGACAGCAGAGGGCAGCAAGGGACTAGCTCCCTTAAGGTTTACTATACTAATAGCAGGAGTGTAAGAAATAAGATAGATGAGCTAAGATTAATTGCATAGTGCAGGAAACATAGATATTATTGCTATAACAGAGACCTGGCTCAATCTGAAAGATAGAGAGATGCCCTCTGAATGTCACATACAAGGCTATAAATATTCCACACTGACAGGGTCAACAGGAAGGGTGGTGGAGTAGCGATGTATAGTCAGAGACAATTTAAATTGTTGTGTTAGACAAAATATTAAATTAGAAGCGTCAGCCACTGAATCTGTTTTGGTTACAGCTTCTCTAGGGCCGAGAAAAACTAATTTTGGGTGTGATTTACAGGGCCCCAAATCTTGATAGGGAGTGCAGTAAACTTCTATGGGACGAAATTCGTAAGGCATCTACATACGAAAATGTTGTGCTAATGGGAGATTTCAACTATAGGCAGATTGACTGGAGCAATTTGACAGGAAATTTAGAGTCAGGTGACTTTCTTGATACGATCCAGGATTGTTTTTTAAAACAGTTTGTGAAGAGCCAACTAGGGGAAATAACCTCCTTGACTTGGTTCTTGCCAGTAGGGAAACACTAATTAATAATCTTGAGGTTAATGATGAACTTGGGGAAAGTGATCACAAATCACTCAGTTTTAATATATCATGGAATTCCCTTAATAATGGCAATCAAGTCTCCGTCCCTGACTTTCGCTTGGCTGATTTCATAGGACTGAAAAATTACTAGGTGGGCTGAACTGAATGACCTGACTAAGGGTCAGGTAGGTGGTGATGGTTGCCGATATGATGCTTTCCAGGGCATAGTTTCTAGCTGCTCAGTCAAATTATGTTCCAAATAGGAAAATCAGATCAAACAAAAATGATCCTAAATGGATGAACAATAGATTAAAATATCTGATTGGTCAAAAGAGAGGCATATATAGGCAAATCAAAGAGGAGAGGGGCAATTAAGAAATCGATATATTCAGTTAAAGAGAGAAATAAAAAAGGGAATTAGAAAAGCAAAAAGAAAATTATGAGGGTAAAGTTTTCAAGGAATCGAAGA